TCTTAGATCAGAAAAAAGCTTTTGTAATAAATTTGTTCTATTTTCTTTAAAATTAATAGGATTACCCCAGCATATAGTTGATTTTTATTAGGATTATTTCAAAAAGAATTATAGAATTAATCATTTTATGTTTAAATCATATTAAAATTTTGTAATAAATTTCTATTAGCCTAATAAAATCTATATTTTATTTTTAAAAAATTTTAAAATTTGAGAAGATTTAACTGATCTGTAGTTTTATTTAGGCCTTTAATATTATATGTAGTAAATTTATTTCTTATATTTATATTATCTACTAAATTGTTATCTATATAGAAAAGATCATTATCAATTTATGTATTATATAGTAATAATTAAAGATAGTACTACAACTAGTTATAACCATATGATACTTATTTATCACCAGTTATAACTAGTTATAACTTAATTTTTTTTAATATTACAACTAGTTGCAATATTATAATGCTTATTTATCACTAGTTATAATTAGTTTCAGTATCATCTTTAGTAATGATCTTTATAAATTAGAAAACTTAATCATTAATAAAAAAGAATATATCTATAAATTCATTATTTATATTATAAGTATTAAGTTTGTGTATCTTAATATTATTATGCGTGTTCCAATTGTCAATAAAAATATTTGTTATCTTTAATTCACTTAGTGAGATAAATTTAAGAGTAATAAGACAAAGTTCTATTATTAAGTTTTTAGACAAAACTTAGAGATATTATAAGTCGTCTAAATGGAGAAAAGTAAAATTTAGTAAAATTATATTAAAATCTTATTAAAAAATCTGCAAAATTCTAAAAAAAGTAAAATTATATTAAAGCTTATAAAAATGCAAAACTATATCAAAACCTTAGTAAAAATTAACAAAACTATAATTTAGACATTTTTCAAATCTAAAATGAGTTTAAATAAATAATCTAACCTATTATTAAGTGATTAAATAAATGAAGTATTGATAAATTTGACCTTAGAGTTCAATTTAGCTAAATATTCTTTTATTAAGTCTAGTTTATTGAGTTTAGCTATGATTATCATAAAAGGATTATCTATATTATTAGTTATAGATTTGTTGATAGAATTTAAATTAAAAATATTATGGCAAAAAGAAGATATTTACTTAGGTATTAATTTATCATACTTAACAATAATATTCTCCTTTCTTTTTTGAATTTAATAATTTTATTATTATATAAAAAAAATAGTGTTTAGTAAAAAAGAATTGCATCTATATCTATTACATTTATTTATAAATTGAAGAAAAATTGTAAAGTTTAAAAAGAACTCTCATTTTACCATAAAGTTTAAATTTATTACAATAAATTAAAGCATTACATATTTCTGGTAAATCTAATTCATCAAAAAAGATAATATAAGTGATTAAATTATAGAAATAATAAGTTTTATTATCATATGATCATAATATGTCAAAAGCTTCAGCAGCTAAAAATTTTGATAGAAAACCTTTAAAATCAGTGATATGTTTATTTCTATTTTTTAAATCATCTAAAGTTATATTCATCAAATTAATTCTAATGCAGTAAGAGAAAATATTAATTGCTTAAAAGTTATTAAGTTTAGATTTTTTCTTATTATCTAGATATTTAAAAGTTACAAAGATATCACATAGATTATTTATTGTATATTTGTATTTATTTTCAATAGATACAATTAATGTTTAGCAATAATATTTTTAGAGATGTGTTGTGAAACTTTTAACATTTTATATTTTTCTTTCTTATTCTTTTTTGATAATGATAATTGAAAGAGAATATTTACTTATTTTTAGGAATATATGATAATAAAAAAAATTTTATAAATATTTCTAATCAACAAAAAATTATATTATATTAAATATTAAGTCAGTTTAATTAATAAGATTATTATAAAATACTTAAATTTTACTATTAAATTTATTTTCTAAAATTATATTATATTAATTTTATTCGTTTAATAACTTTACTGATAAATTACTTGTAATTTTAAAATATTTTAAAAGTAATTTATTAAAAAATTATAAATTTTATGATGTTTTCTAAATAAAAATTAAAAAAAATATAATTAACTAATAATATTTAAGATAAAAAATATATAATAAATTATTAATAAAAAGTTTTTATTTAACTTATATTATTTTTAATTTTAAAAATATAAAAATAATTATTATGTTACATAATGATATCAAGCTGTATTTTAGATTATAAAGGAAATGATTACTCAAATCTGTGAAATAGCTGCTTTGAAACTAATTTTTATCATAATGAACCTTAATGTTAATAAAATAAATTTAACAAATTAAAATTTATTTTTTTTGTGATTATTAGATATTAAGGTTACTTTTAAAAATTTGAAAAATTGAAAATTGATATTCTATATAAGTGCTTTGCAGTAGAAAATGAGGAAACTACCAAAAAAAAAATTCTTTTTGAATTAATGTTAAATTTGGCTAAAAAAATAATGTTTAGCTTATAAACTAAAAAAAATTTTTTTTGTAGTTTCCTCAGAACCCATATATTATTTTTTTTTTTTTTTAAAAAAAAAAAAAAAAAAAAAAAAAAAAACCTGTAAAAATTGTAAAATTAAATTTGTTAAATCCAAGGTAAGCAATCTAATCTTCTTTTATATATGACATTATACTGTAATTGAATTTTTTTCTATCTAAATGTTACACGATTTAATAAAATAAACGCGTTTGTTACTTTTTTTTTCTCCTACTTCACCATAATATTTTCACATATTAACAAATTTGGATATTTGATAATATCAACTATATTACTATTATACACGATGTGTAGGTTTTAATTCAGTGAGAATTGGAGTAGGGAGAAGGAAAAGAATGAATTGTGGAAATCTTGTAACGTACTGTATGATAAGATCTATTGTAAGCAAAAATTAAATTTTTAGGTACGATATGCAAATAATTCTTCTTATCGTACGTCGAACAAACGCACGCACATAATTTATAATAAAAAGTATAAATATTTAGTTTAATTAACAAATTAACTTATGTTGAAGGAGTTTCCGCTTAAACATATAACGATTTAATAATTTATAATATATAACAACTTCATTACAGTTGTTAGGTGCGTTGGATCTTGATTTGATAATTTGTTGCTAAAGTGGGAGGGAAAATCGGCCGATATCAATGAGGACGTTATTTAATTTCTAAAATGATCGGAATAAAAGCTTAATTTTTACTTAAAAAAAAAATGTAACCGCCAATCACCAAGGACGACGAGAATATACAAATAACTGTGTCGCACAATTATAATAATAAATTTTCTCTTCCGAATAACCAAACAGAAATTGAATTTATTAAAAAAAGGTAAGCCATCAACTCATCTCATAGACCATCTACGATTTCACTCATTTAAAGTAAGAGAATAATGCTCATATTCAATAAAGTTATGTAATTCGGATGTTGAAATCATATAAATCCCATAAATACCCTTCTCCTTCCGAAACACTTTAAAATGTCTAAAAGAATTGATGTCATTACAAATAGAATTTTCTCTCTTAATAAAACTATGACCAAAGTTATTAAGATCTTGAATTGAATATACATCATACAATTTCTCTTTAAATTCAACACCAAAAACCTTTAAACTGTAGTTGTTTGACATAAAATTAAAAAATACTTGTAACTTTTCTTTTGGATTTCTAAAAAGGAATTTATCATAGATAATTAAATAGGTTAAAGAACCGCTATAATTTCCCAGGAAGTTATAAATTTCATTAGCGGTGTAATTGCTACCTTCTAAATATAATTTCGTCAAGGTAGAAGGTAAATGTGATGCCAGACTATCAAATATTACTGAAGAATTCAACTCGTAAGAACTATCATAAATCAACGACAAAGAAATCTTTTGAAGTTTCAAATTATCTAAAATTCCAAACAAAAGTGGAATGTCTCTCTTTATCAAACGATCCAACGTGAAATCTATAATGTTTGGACAATAATTAATCATCGTCTTAACAGTTTCAACGTTTAAACTATTAAGGTGTAATTTTTTCAAATATTTCCCTGCCATTTGAATGATCAAATATTGTTTCTCGAAACCTTCATCATCGGTAATTTGTAAACTGCAAATGGGTACTTGTTTGATTGATAATGAATCCGCATCTATATTCAATTTACAATTTTTGAAATATAATTCTGTCAATTGATTGTTAGGGAGTGATGATAAGATATCATTCAAATGGATCTTGAAGTTCGTTAAATCCAGTAAATTTAAATTTCGAAGTGAATTTCGTTGAAATGGTAAAGCCCAATTTCGAGGAAGATTGATCTTTAATGATTTGATGTTGTTTTGATTTTTAATGATCGCTCCAACGTAATTCATGGCATTATCCGGATATAATATGGAAGGAAATTGAATGTCAAAATCTTCAATCTTTGTGCATGAAACATATATTTCTTGGAAGAGGTCGAAAAATAAGATGGCGGGTGCTTTATTTTGTGAGTAGATTTTAAGGTGTGTGACGGTTGAAATAACCGATAATAAATGTGAAGTAAAAAATGTATAAAGATTTTTTTCATGATAATAATCAATTAGAACTAATGATTTGATCTTGACCGATTTTCTCGTGAATAATTTTATTAATAATTTTATAACTTTGGTCGTTTTCTGTTTTATTCTTCTAACATTCTTTCCACAAGAAATCCAATCTATTATGATATTTCCTAATCTAATCAAATCAAGTACTTCCAAGTATTTTATGTAGTCAAATATTGGTCTACGGTAAGAAGGAATCCCTTTTTCTAATTCAATGAGTGCCGAATTTTCTTCTTCATTTAGATTTATGAAATAATTATTTAAAAATAAATATTTTTGAGAGGTTAATTTGATTTCCCTTTCGAATGGATTACTCCATAATAATGGAATGGTAATCCTACACCATATTCTGTTTACGAGAAGACAAGAATATAATCCTCGATTATTCTGCTTGACAAAATATAAAATATGTTCAACGCATTCATGTGGTAAGGAAGGAACTATCATGATTAGGAAAGAAGGAAGGAAGTGTGAGTTCGTGGGAAAAAAACAATTCGACCTAGTGTTATATGTTGCATGTGATCGGCATTGTGATTTGCCACAAACTTATTTGGTAATTTTACTACGCTTGTTCGATGACGAATGTGAAAATTTCGTGTTTTATTGTATTTTTAATTTATAGTGAAAAAAAAATATATATCTATTTTTATAAAAAATTAAAGAGTATCGAACAGATATATATTCTTTAGGAAAAAAAAAAGGTTTCCGGCACGTGACTTGGTTTAAATGTGGTTACCTAAAAATTTTAAATAAACGTAGTAAATACCTTTATCATCACCTTTGCATGGAAACTGCTCAATACTATCATTTCATATTTCACGTGAAAAGATAAAAAAAACTCGTAGAATTGAATCTTTGAGCAAAAAAAAATTTCAGGAAAGATGTAATCGACATCGAATCACGGGTAATCGAGTGTAGGGCACTGTCAATTTTGTCATCATAACGTTGTACCTACGCCTAAAATCCTTATATAACGTGTTCTCGATATTCCTTTTTATGGTATCATTTTACGAGAATTCTGGTTGAAATGGTTGCTACACATACGAACCCCATCAAAGATTTTGACCAACGATAGAAATTTTCAGCATTGAGGATAATAAGTTACTTCTGTAGGAAAGGACGTTTTCATCGAACAACCTGATAGAAGCATATATACCATAATAGCTATTCTCTTGTATTTAATAATAGAGATTTATTCTTATCCCCCTTTACAGAGTCTATTATCTTTATCGCTAACCTTTAGATTACCTGTATAAATAACTTTTTTGTGTAAATCATCAGTCAACTTGATTATGATAATAATTTGAATCGGTCACCGTCGAAACCGAGAGTTACTATAAAAGACACATTGACAAGTCGCGAAAAAAAAATTAGGCACTTCATATGAATGGTATGAAGTTATTAAAATAAACATTTATTAATGTACTTATTTTTTACTACATATCATTAACCCAAATAAAGGTATCGAAGATTCATTAACCAAATTTCAATGTTTCTATTATCGATAAACAGAACAATGAGCATTCCCTCTTTTTTTTTTTAATCTCAAAATCTATCTTTTAACCACACTACTAGTTATAAAAGAAAATTGACATATTGTGTGACATCACGTGAAATCACGTTTTCAACGTGTAAAATTGATTATTTAGTAACGCTAGAGATTAAATCAAAATCTATTCTTCTTTTGCAGTTTGCAATTGCAAATTTTTATTGAGAACTATTGGTGTTATGACAACAAAAGATATGTTCGAGGGAGTATCAAGTATCGCTTCTTTGTCTACTAATGGTATTATGTCAACAAGCAATACTTTGGAATTTAGACATCCAAGTAAGTTTCTTCGCGTCAACTATCAACAAAGAAAATATTGTTTTTAATACTCTGATTATCTTTAGATTACTGGAATCGTAACGATGACACATGGAATGTTAAGATTTAGACATGTACTGGTTAGAAATTCATCCACCGCTTATGCATACTACTAAACATTGTTCTCACTCGATGAATTAAGATGCCTAAAACAAATTTATGACGATAACAATACACATCCCGCGTAATTGGCAGCAATTCGAATACAAAAGGAATTAATCGTTAGTTCAAATAATGTCGTAATTTTGAAAAGGTGGTGCTGGTGTACTTCATGATTAATCCGGCATCCGAGCGATGAGAAGGAGGTGCCGAGTGTAAAATCCGACGGGTAGTGCCGCGTGTGCGTGATCATGAAAACATTGGGTTGAACCGCGTGTTTAAACAAGGAATTCCTCCTTAAGCTAAAATCGTGGCCGTGTATCATTGGAGGAGGGCCGAGCGTCCGTGGCTTCTTGTGATCTTCCTTCCTCCATACTGATTTAAATATATATTTATATATATATATATATATTTTTTAAAAAAAAAAAAGGAAATCTCCAATGAACAGAAGTATATGGGAAAATCAACATAAGATAATTTCTTTAACAATGAAATCCTATCTAATTGACTTGAGTCGGATATTGAAAGGGTGAGTGTTGATTATTAATCTTTCTGACATCCTTTTTATGGTTCTTATTAGACTTTTAAGGGAACTCAATCTAGACTTCAGATAGCACGAAGAGGTTTTAAATTGTATTTGAAATAGAATTTGATCGGTAGAAAGGGAGCATAAGAGAACAAGATTTGGTATGTAATTTTAAGCTGATTCAAAAATACCATAAATTGAGCATTAAAATCATAATCAATTTATAGAACAAAATGATGAATGGTCCTCTTCAGCATTTGCAGCATCAATTTCAATAAACGTTCGAAATAATTCAGACGACCATTATTATCTTCTTCATTACCATTATGCAGAATTATCGTAAAAAGTTTCTACATCCAAATATGAGTAAACTCAATAATGATTAAGGTTCACTATGCACATAATCTACACTCATGTCAATTTAGCCTTGCACACAGTTATTTTTTGATCTTACCCCCACTTCGAAATTTTCAAAGGAATTTGCACAAGATGGTTGGAATAAACTTATTTCTGATCGTCCTGTTGTTCTTGGAGTTGAATATTGGAACCAATCATTGATTACTTGTTTAGACAAATGAATGAAAGGTAGATCGTTATTTTATTCGCATTTTAATTGTGTACCAACCCCTCAGAGTACATTTAACTAATAGAAAATAAATTACGTTCATAAAGCTCGTGATCTATGGAAAAATTTGATGGCTCCCGATCATAAGAAAATTTTTCATATAATAAAGACGATTGAAATAAAGTCTTGTGGTGGGGAAGCATGCCGTAAGTCGATTTAATTACAAACGTGTTTTCTTTTATATTATTGATTCTGATTGAATAAATTTTTTTTTCATGCAGTCTTAATGCTTTTGAATCGGAAAATAATCCGTTAATAGTCACGAGAGGGAATGGTTTGGGAGCTATTTGATTCCTATTTGAAGGTGCATTAAGTCTTGATGGACGTTGTCGGGTGCCATGGTTCATTATCAAAGCTGTGAGTTGTGAGAATTTGTTTTATATGATTGTATTTTATAGAAAATAATGATTTGTTATATAATAGGGTGAGGTTACAGTTCAATCCACTATCCGAAGACGTAATAGCGAAAAGAAAATTTTGAAAGAAAAATTAGAGCGTGGACACCTAGCAGATATGTCGTGCATATTTGATAATTATGAATTGGTTTGTTGCCTGGCATATGGCGGTTCCTACAAATATGATCTCACTAAATTAGCTTCGGATGAATTTAACCTCCCGAGGATGATGAAAGACATGCTGGACGATATTCGACATAAATTTAGAATGATTAAAATAGATCCATCATGCCTTTATATTGTAGAACTTCACGTAAGTGGATTATAAAATAGTATTATTATTTATTATTTTTATTTTGAATTCCAAAATTTTGATAAACAAACGAGCATATTTTCAAACTTTTTCATTTGCACAGCAATACATATCAGAAGTTCGAGTTTATTTAATTGAATTACGCGAAGTTTATCGATTTCATTTAATTACAACAATTCATCATCCTTTACATTTAGTTTAATTTGGGCTTGGAATATTCGGGTTCGTATTATACACATTTTGATTTTTTTCTTATTTGTAATTTATCTATTAATCACGATTTTCTGATTTACATGGATTGGTTAATGATTTACTAGAGGGACTTATTGTTGAAATGGAAATTGGCTCATCAATTCCTCCACCGGATTCAAAAGAAATGACTACGTCAGATACTCCTACCAAAATCACAGAGACCGAATGTGAATTCACTTATCCTTCTCCATTTTTTAAATAGTCCATAGTCATCTTATTTTTGTAATCATAACATTGAAATTTGAGATTTTTCGATTGAATGATTCTATTAAAACTGCGTTCCATTTTAAAAAAAAATAAATAAATAAAAATAAAATAAGTTGGAACCTTTCGTTAGTTGAGTATTTTTAGCAGAAATTTTATAGTTGCACTTTTAAAATTTTTGAAATTTTACAAATGGTTCATGCTAATAAAGTTGAGCGTTAACTCTGTTTAATCTCTCGTGATGATGATGAAGGATGGGATTGGCTGAATTTAAAGATTATATGAATGTGATTCTTTGAGGAATATCACACGTCTTATTTTTAAATAAAATAGTGGTCCAAACATAAAAATAGATTAGATTACATTTATGGTAGTACAATTTTCTTGTTTGTTGCAGCATTCACCATTCCCCATATAATCTCGGCCATATATTCGATGGACTAAAATTTCTCCTCAACGCGTGTTTAATTTACTTTATAAAAAGATCATTGATGATGAAAATTCACTACCTTGTGCCATAAAAAAAAAAACCATGATTGACATAATATATATATAGAACAAAATCTGATTATCCCACGAACTCTTCCCCAAAAAAATTTGGTATACTTTTTTCTTTGACGAGGAAATATCATTTTTATCATTCTTGAAACTTATTTTTCTATTTCCTACTACACAAACGAATCTTTAAGAAAAAAAATGGATTTGTTGAGAAGAGAAATTTTTACGTAAGTTATCAACAACGGTGTTAGTTAAAGTTAAATTTTTTTTTTTTGAAAATTTTTTCGATAACATTTCTTAAAATTGTTTTTTTTATTATTTTTATTATTATAATTTCTAGTGGGGGATTTTTCTTTATGTTTGTCGAAATTATAAGATATGGAATGTTATACGTTCAAAGGATATTCCAAACATTCCACTTTATGCTTTTGATGCGTGAGGCCAACTTCATTAATTCGATCCTAATAAATGATCTTGAAGGCGTCACACAAAGGGTCGTAGTAGCGTGTTGTTTGACGACAATCCGACATCTCCAAGCAAATAATGAACAACAGCTACAATTAGAAGTAGATAATGAACGACAGCAACTGATATTAGAACGAGAACTAAGAATAATACACACGTATAATGTACTTCAAATTAATCTCTCAAACATGGAAAGAGACGAAGTCAAAAGAATTCTTCAAAAGTTCATGAACTTACGCTTTACAACTGCAAGCAAAATATGTTTCAAGAAGAACAAGAACCTTTGGTTGCCCGCAGATGAGATTAAAAATTACATGCCTTGTTATATGTACAAAGAAGTCCATCTAGAAGACTGGAACGATGAAGGATATATTTATTATAACAATATTTTAGTGGATATTATGTATTTATTGATTCTTCTCTTGAACATTTATGTCTTGTTGTGTTGAGATGGTCTTCAATTTTTTTTTATGGTTAGATCCGCTTGATCTATCTGTATCTCTCTACTTAGAATCTTTTTTTTTTTTTTTAAAAAAAAAAAAAATAAAATCAAAATAAATTTCTCCCTATATACATGCTTGATTTGTCGTTGTTAATGATAAAAAAGCTCTTATTGCATTGATCAATTTTTATTTAAAAGTGTTTTATAAATCTTTTGAAGTTGTGTGAACATTCAATTCTTGTTCAAAAAGTGATTAAAAGGGAAAATCATTTCAATAAAAACGTGTTTTGATAAAAGCGCATTTAACCGGTCAAAAGATTCTTCTACTTGAATTGATATCACCAGGGATTTTCAGAGCCGTTTCTATCAACTGTTCTTGATATACGACAAACTGTAAGGGTAGAATACCATGCCATTTTTGACCAATCAAAAATTAATCCCATCACTTCAGAAATTTTTTTTTGACGATAAAATCGAATAGACCAATCAGATCCAACCTATCGATTATCACTCACTTATTGATTTACTTTTTTGATTAACCAGAAAAAATTGGGCGTACATCAAATTTTTCTGGTTCGGATAATTATAAACCGAAAATCCGGCATACCATATCCTTTTTCCGAATTTCGTAATCATTGTACGTTTGCAGATTATGAAATGTTGTAAGCTTCCACCCAATTCCATATATTCACCATATGATGACGATCATCCATTACGTGATCACCATTTATTACTATTTTCAGTAAATTACGTTTTATATAACGTACGTAAAATTTTTAGTTTCGTAATTGACAATTCGTAAGCACATTGACGTACGTAAAAACAATAAAAAAAAAAGGTATAAATACAGAGTTGAGATTGCTCTTCAAAAAATTCAATAAACCAATTCTTTAATAACAAAAAAAAAATAAAATAAAATAAAACAACTCATATTTCAATAAATAAATCAAAAGAATAAATAAAATGACGTCCATCAAAGTGTCATATAGATCCACCGTTCGTCGTTTCACAATTCCCGATACCATAACTTGGTCATATCTCGAATCAAAACTTCGATTATTATTTTCTTTACCGTCCACTTTACAATTTACCCTTTCTTACAAGGATGAGGATGGGGACATCATTACTTTATCAACCGATTTGGAACTTCAAGAATATTTATCATCTCAATCACCTCAATCTACTTTGAAATTTTCCCTTAATCCGGAAAAGTCAAATAACTTCGCTGTTGATACGTTCTCGAGCAATGCGTCGGAAAACGAATTTTTTCCAGTTGAGAGGGAGAAATATTTTCTTGACGATACTTATAAAAAAGCCGATAAACATGTCACTGTGATGGATTCCGCCGATGATGAATCTTCTACCACTTCAGCCTCAAAAGGCAAGCAAAAGGAGGAATCACCTGCCGAACCTTCAACTTCCGCTTCTAACGAACAACAACAACAAGAGGAGAATGGACAACCTTCTCCTAATAATGAAGAGCAACGAGCTCCATTCATTGAATTGGCCGAACAATTTCAGCAATTGCATGATCAATTTAACGATGTCTTTACAAAGAACCCTCAATTGGTTGAACAAGCTAACACCATCATGGATAAAATCTTACAAAATGTTCCCGTAGACATCAATCAATGGGCCCAATGGTTGAACACTTTTCGTTCGGAAGGTGATCTTCCAACTCAAGGAAGGGAAACTAACAATAATTCACGAGAAGGGGGACAACAGAAAACCAATGATTTTGGTCAATTTGGTCAATTTCCTACTTTATTCCAATCTCCTCATGAAATACTTTCAAACCCTTGGATTCAAAGAGTCATTCAAGATGTATCAGCCAATTGTCAGAGAGGTTTCGGTAATTTCTCAAGACCTACGGGGTTTAACGGACCTTGGAATTCCAACCGTGATTGTCCATATCAACAACAACGACGACAAGAAGAATTGAGTCAAGAAATGTTAAAAGAAAAGATCAACTCACTTCATGCAATGGGATTTTGGGAAGATGATGTAAAAAACGAGGAATTATTAAAAAGGTACAATGGTAATATCGAGAGAGTTGTCGAAATTTTAATTAGGCAAAATGCTGAACGAGTTGATGATTCTTATGAAATACTTAATCCTGTGGAAAATGGTGGTCGTTAAAAACTAATAAGCGGAAGAGGTGATCTATTTCATGCCTTTATTACAGAGTAACGGAACTTAGAATTATTATTATTATTTTTTTTTTTATTAAATTTTATTATATATGGATTTCTTTTTTCTTTTACATTTAATAAATAAAGATAAAATTACATACAAATTCATTCATTCATTTCTCAATATTTATATGATTAATTATTGACAACCAATTTAACTAGTTAAATATTAAAATTGGCGAGTTTTCTCATTTCCGCTAACTTTAATATCCAGCTGATCTCGTAATTCTTGATTTCTTTGAATTTGGTACAAGATGTCTCGGAAAGTTATTGTGATTTAGAGACAACTACTAAATTTTTTTATCCCTTTATTTGGAAGCCGTTGAAAAAGATAGTAAACAAAACATTCCTCGTTGCAAGTGACATTTTTTGATATCTCTGCTAAATCTCTTTTTCGTAAAATAAAAAAAAAAAAATGCTAGTGGTTAATTTTTTGACAATTCCATAAAAACATGATCAAATAATTACTTACAGTTAATACATTGCGAATAAATAAATATTATCAACCACATGATTTATTAATATTGGAAGAATCGTTTCAAGTAAAAATTGTGTGGCTATCGAGATGATTGCTACAATTATATTCCCTAAACAATATCTCTTAAAACTTGTCGTACTATGAGAACTCCTGAATTAACAATTGCACGTCCTTTGGATTATTTCCACTGGTCCCATAAGCTCACTAACGTTCAAATTCTTTTTCTAATTGAAATAAATCATCTTCAACACATCATCTTCCTCTTAGAACTTGTAGTTCTAAGAGAACTCCTTGAAAAAAAAAAATGTACGCCCTTTGGATAATTCCACTGGATCTATAACCCACTTCAATTGAAATAAGTCCACTTCAGCTTATTAATCAAAGGGAAGCTTCCACAATTTTTCTTTTTATAATTTTATTCTTTCTTCCGAATCAATAGTACGAAATATTTTTTTTATTGCATTTTTCCTTTAGTTCTCATTGCAGAACTTTAATTCAAAGGTAGGAAACAATCCGGTAGATGTGAGAATAGAAAGTAAAATTTCATATACTGAAATCAACAAAAAAAACATTACCTTATCCTTTGCAACATCAACTTAATCAATGATCTTCAACATTGAACTCTTCTCTTCAAAATCTCCCCTATCCAAGTAAAAAAGAGCTATTATTAAACGATCTATTAGTAGAGATCGTTATCAGTGCCGATGATTTTATGTGATCACATAACTTTGCATAAAACATAATTTATGTGATATCACATAATTTCACATAAATTGAATCCTCTCATATTGAAGCGCATAATCCGCAGTAAAATACAAGTTTATTCCGAGTTTTTCAGTAATACAAGTTTTCATAAATGTCATGTGATTTATTCCCCTTGTGCGCCCCTTATCGTCATGTACTTTTTAAAAAATAAAATCACATAATCACATTTTAAAAATAATATCACATAATTTGTTTATAACACATATATCACATCATAAAATCATCGAAAAAATTCTTGTCCATATAAAGAAGTAAAACATGCGAATAATTGCATGTGTTACCAATAGTTTTTTTAAAAGAATTTCTGATAATGTAATATAACCATAGATGTTTTTTTTAACTAAATAGTGATTCTTAAGATCTTTATATTTATTTACTTAAAAGTTAGATCTCATCATAAAAGGATAAGATGATAAAATTTGATGTTAAATTAAAATATTATTAGAAAAAATAACTCTTTAAAGATAATAAATTAATTGAATCTAATTAAATATAGAATTAAAGAATTTATATAAAAAAAAGCTGATATGTAGATAATAAAAAAAATTTTAATTAGAAACTTATTTTTTTTATAGTAAATATTAATTAATAAAAAAATAATTATTTATTTAAAAAGTTGTGAGATTATTTTTTGATAAAAATTCTATAAAAATAATTTTAATTATAAAATAATTATTAAAAACTATATATGGTCCGGTACAAAAAGGTTGATACACTAATATATCTATAATAAAAATTTTTTTTTTAAAATTTAATATGAATATTTAAATTTATTTATTAATACTTCAAGTTTTAAGATATATTTCAATATAAATTTTATTAAAGTTTTGAAGATATACAAAAAATTTTACTAGTTATCAACTTCTTCAATTTCAAAATCTTCATAATCACTTTCAACTAATAAAATGTCATCACTTAAATCTTTATATTCTATGGTCTTATTAAGACATTTTTTCCAAAATCCAACAATAACTTTAGAATTAATATTATCTTTAAATGCTTGCAATAATTTGTCTCTAATAATAAGAAGATTAGGATGGGAACCACTTCTAGCAATCACACCGTTTACAATTGACCAAATTCCCTCAATTAGTTGAAGTTCACAATGGTAAGATGAAGTATAAAACAAATTGTAACCATACTTATTGTTAAACATACATAAAAGGGACATTAGGTTTATTTGTTTTACTAATTCATAAAGTTCTGCTCTACTAAGATTTTCTGAAATGTTAACGTCTGCTGATAATAATCATGTGATCATTATATCCTTTCTTGAGTTTGATGTCAATACTTGTTCAATTCGATGTTTGTGATATCTAGCACTATCCATGTGAATTACAACTGATACATAACACTCTTTGATATTAGCACAAAGTTTATCAAAAAGATCTTCAAATATTTCAGCTGTAAAATTACCATGATAATTAACATTATTTGCCACAATATTTGAATTTCGAATAACATCAGGAATATTAGTCTATTTATTGGCATTTGCTTGTTTTCTTCCTCTAGAGGAAGGTGGTTTAATTGATAGATCCTATAATAAAAGAGAATTAGGAACGATTTCACTAAAAAGCTTATTGGTGTTACTATTACGCATTATAATAATTGCATCAAAAATAATAATTAGATGTCTGTGTCTAACTTCATATACAACCCCATGATTTGGTATCCAAGTACGACCTGTAGTATAATGTAAATGGCAATAAGACTCATTTAAAAATACCTCCAGTTTAGTTGGAACCTTATTTTCACCTTGTAAATTTTCAAACTGACGTTGTAAATAAATGTTACGAAAGGTCACATTTTTAGGTAATTCATGTAACATATTTTAACATTCACCATGATCATAATAATATCCAACATACGAAGTAAATGAAGGAGCTGTTATTTTGAAAAAATATAACCATTTTCTTCAAGCTTCTTTTGTAAAATAGGTGTTGAAAGTGGTAAACCAGAAATATTAGAGGAAATGATAATACTACGAATAATTTCAACTAAGTCATAATTAAGCTCCTTTTTTGGTTGACCAATTTTGGTGATGATTCTCTGGATTTACTTTGATTATATTCAGCAACTATTTGTGCAATTGTTGCCTCTCCAATATCAAGAACCGCAGCAACCTCCTTGTGTAGTGATAAGTCATAATTTTTTTTTGGCATTTTCAGATACTTAAAAAATGTTGGTAAACACGAAACACCATTTTTTTTCATTGCTAGTTAAAAAATTTCAATCTCGTTTCAAATTTTTCATGAGAAAAAAATATGATTAAAACCGGTTATAACTTTGAAGTTAAAAACTGTTCTTACCTTATATATAATTAGTTTACCTGTCAGATTTGATTATCAAATCTTGTATCATAAGAGAATTTGTGTAATGATTTTAGTGTATCAACCTTTTTGCACTGGACCATATGAGGCCTTTGCAATAGAAAGAGAGGAAACTCAAAAAAAAATAAAAAATGAGTTAATAATAAATCTGAACAAATTATAGTATTTAGAACATTTTTGGCTTATAAACTAAAATTTTAATTTTTTTGGAGTTTCCTCCTTTTCTATTGCAAAGACCCCATATATATTAATAAAAATAAAAAATTAAATACTTACTATCATTAAACTAAAAATAACTTATTTAATAGTGTTATAGTTACTAAATCAGTTCATATATTTTGAGAATGATAATTTAATTTCATAAATTTACATACAATTTGTTAAACTAAAATAATATTTTCACAAGAAAGTTTTCTGATTAGAGGTTTTCACAGTTTAATATGTCTTATGCTATTTTTTGTGACTTTATCAAAAATTTTAGATAAATTTTATCATAAAATATTAAAATGATCTATTTTGTTATATTTGCTATACCAATCATCTATTATTAATATATACTCTATATTTTCAATATATAGTAATACTATTGAGTATTTGAAAAAATAAATGGATTATTATTTAAGGTTGTTTTTAGCATCTAAAAATGCAACTATTACATTAACAAAAAGTTTAGAATAACATAATTGTGATTCAAATCATTCATCAACAATCTGAAGAGCTGATTCATATATTATAGAAGGAGAAATAAATATTATATTTCTATTTTAGTGTTTGCTTTCAGTATAAAATTAGTATTCAAGATCAATATAAAATATGCTTATAATAATTAATTAAATGGTCAACTAGAGGTTTTTCTATTATAAAAACTAAAAATTTACCAGAAATTAGTTCATATCTATATATATTTATTTAACTTATTTGAAATAGTTATCTATTAAAATACAAAGCTTCTTGAATAGTAAAATTATTGTTCTTTTATCCTCTTATTAAAATAATTATAATTTTATAAATAATTTAGTAATATGATTCAAAAATAAAGGTTTTACAATTGATATTGTATGATATAATACAGATTGATGATCATTACTTTAATGGTATAATTCCTTTTTGAATTTGAAATTGATGCTAAATATCAAAAAAATAAAAATTAGTTATTGAAATAATTTAAATTATAACTTAATTTTAATTACTTATAAGTCTTCTAAAAAGAAAACATCAAAACTATATAGAGTCTAATAAACAATCTTTAATATTTAAATATATATATATATTTGGAGTTGCAATTTCTGATCCTTAAACAGATTTAATTTTAATTAAAAAATCTTTCATAACTAAATCTTCACTTTTAATTTCTT